ATTTGGTCTGCACCTGCATCTGCAAGCATAGTTGCAGATGACCTTCTAAAACTATGCCCAGTGTAATTGTGTGCATCTGGCAATTTGAGATACTCAGCAATTTTCTTTGGTGCTCCACCAAATGTATTCACTCCGATTGGCACTCGATGTCTGACACTCGATGCGACCGAGTGTCCGCTACATTTGAGTTTAGAGTCCCCTCCCCTCGATATATCGATGGGCGCTCACCCGAAAACTGTAGTGGAGTCAGCGCCACGATGCCGCGTGATGGCAGCTCAATTGTTCTATCAGTGCCAAAACGATGCGTTCTCTCTCCTCGTTGCCGCCAATTTTTTGTTCTTGCTCGCCGCCCGCCGTCTCCTCTCCACTCCAGCGCCGCTGGCTCGCGCGAACGTGGTCGAGGCTGCAAGCTCGGACGCGCCACATTCAAAACAGGATTTCTCCGAACAAAAGATGAGATCAAAGATTTTAAAGATCTCATAAATAAAAGTACAATACCATGATCTCGAGTCAAATCTTACATACTTTTTTCACCTGGGAACAAGCCAATTGGTACGGCACTTGCCATCGGCATTGGTGGCTCGCTACAGAGAGCGTCTTTTAGCCAAAGAAGACCAAGGCAAAGTTTACGAGGTGACGTCGCGCAGAAGAGTGGGTTACCACTTTATGCGCAGTGGCAGCTTTACGCGCTTCGCAGAGTGGCGCTTTATCTACCGGGCTCGCCTCGACGTTTTGCCGCTTAATGCGACCAAACGCTGGCAGACCGGTAGTAACAAGCGCTGCCAAAAGTGCGGAGCTCACCTAGAGACGCTTCCTCATATGATCCATCACTGCCGGTTAAACTACGTCGCTATCACTAAGCGTCACAATGGTGAGTTGGATCGGCTGGTCAAGGCCCTGAAGATTTCCGGGACTGTGGCGGTAAACCGGACGTTCGATGGCGTCGACCTGGAGTGGGCACAGCTACGACCAGATCTAGTCGCGAGCGACGAAGTCCGTAAGAAAATAGTCATTGTCAACGTGGCCGTGCCTTTCGAGAATCGCGGTGTGGCTCTGAAGGAGGTGAGAAGTGAAAACCTCGCCAAGTACCAGGGTCTAGCTGCGTGCCTGGAGAGGCAAGGGTACGCCGTCAAGCTGATGCCCTTCCTTGTCGGAACACTCGGCGGATGGGATGCCAGCAACGAGCGGGTCATCTGTCTTTTTGGAATTTACCGACTGTATGCGATTATGATGAGACGACTGATGATCAGCGATACAATAAGATGATCTAGGAACGTCTACGTGGAGCATGTGCCTGGGGCTTGGCATTACTAGCTTTTTTTGTATTATTTTCCACATTTGTATTTAGTATCTTTGCGCTGCCAGCCCCGACACTGTCGTAGAAAATGTAGCACGTTATCCACACCCAAATTTTTTAACTACATGTAAAATTTCATTTAATCTGTATTATGACTGAAAATTTTAATTGGTTTTATTTTATAATGACTGTTGTAATTTTTATATATACTTCATGACGTATAATTAATGACTCTAACTCTTTGATACTAGTTGTAAGAAATACTTTGACTATTTTTTATATATGGGCTATATCGTGTCAACCGTCCCCCACCCCCTCTTTTTGATTTGATTTTTCATATTTTATTCTTCTTCCCAGGGTGAATATGAAAAAATTATTGAAACATGATTTTTTATGTAAAATTTGACGAGGGATTCAAATTTGATTTCAAAAATCATATTCATCAAAATCCTAAAAATCCCTAAATTACCGAAAATCAATCTGAGGGCCAAACACTAACATGTTCGTATCCAGCGATAAGGCCAATATTGTAATATGTTCATCGATACATCAAACTGCAACTTTTGATACATTTTGGTCATCGGCAGACAAACAAACTTCAGTATTGAGCATCATATGTTGCAAGAATCAAGGAAAATTATAGAGAAAAACCATGTTTTATTGACACATATGATGCTCAATACTGAAGTCTGTTTGTCTGCCGATGACCAAAATTTATCAAAAGTTGCAGTTTGATGTATCGATGAACATATTACAATATTGGCCATATCGCTGGATATGAACATGTTAATGTTTGGCCTTTGATTTTCGGTAATTTAGGGATTTTGAGGATTTTGATGAATATGATTTTTAACATCAAATTTGAATTTCCCATCAAATTTTACATAAAAAATCATGTTTTAATAATTTTTTTTTCATATTTACCCTTGGAAAGCAGAATAAATATGAAAAATCAAATTCCAACTCTGATCCAAGAGGGGGGACAGTTGACGCGATATAGCCCATATACTAGTGGCAACAATTGTTGCTGAAGCTGAGCGAACAATTTATTTTAATAATTGTGATTAAATACTATACTTATATGAGCAAATCCAGAATTTTTCTTCCATTTCACGGGCCAAAATTGGCACCAAAAATTTTTTCGTGGTACGCGAGTAAGGGTCACGGGAAAGCGTTCTTTGGGGTCCTAGAAACATAAAAAAATGCGTGAACACGAAAAATTTTGATAGTGAATTTTTCTACATGCATTTTAGTGCACCACATATGAAAAATCACGATATAGCATGGTGAAAGTATAAAAACACTTGTGAGTATCGCAAAATAAGCGTAAAAAAAATTTCAAAAACCCCATTCCCAATGTATTTTTCGACGAGGAATCCACCGGTGACCTTGAATTCGGCCTTCATCGTAACCTTCAAGCTCCAGCGATCCAAATATCGGGTTTTCACCTCGGAAAATGCAAGTAAACGTTCAAACTTGAATATCTCAAAAAGAGTCTTTTATTTGCTTTTTTTATTGTTTCAATGGAAAGCTGAGTTCATTTTACATAAACAACGACTGTTTTCAAAGTGTAATATTCATAATTTCTATGAGAGATACGAGCAAACATAGTCGGCGCTCGGCTGTCCAGCCGCCCGATCGCGCGATTCGTGGCTCGCTGTAATCGCAACTCGCACAAATGACAATGTAATTCAACTAAAAAAATAAATAAAAATATGGTTTTTATGCGTTTTTTTCAGCTTTCTCGTGGTGCCATATTAATAACCTCGAAATCCCTAAATTAAAAAGAATAATCCAAAGGTAAAAAAATAAACATTTTCGTATCCAGCGATTAGGCCAATATTGTAATATTTGTTGAAATGAGAGGTCCAAAGTTCTCGAGAGAAAGGGCATTTAAGAGAGTGACACGAAATTGGGTTAGAGTTTGCGTTTATTCCTCGTCTACTTGTCGCGCTCGTGGCGCGAGCGACGAACTTAGGAGACAGAGTCGTGAAGACTTATCTTTAGATCTGAACCTGGGAGAAGGGGGCTAATCATCGGGCCTTATAAAAAGGCTTATAGTCTTAGACTATTAAGGCCTTATTTTGGTTTTGCACTTTGAGAAGTAACAACACAAGGATTAAAGAAAAGTCTGCCTAGCTCCAACTGTGCCGAAGCAGACGGTCAGCGGGTGGCTTGCTATCCAGTGACCGCTGACCAGTACAGTCGAGTGCAAGTGCCGCATCTCAAAGTCTTATATAGAGTCAAAATCCAAGTTTAATTCATTTCAGAGTATTAGAGTCCATATTTCAAGTTGTAGTTTTAATAATCTTTTGGAAATTAAAATACTTTTTACGCGATTTAAGTGGGTGCATAAGTGATTCAAGTTCATCCCCTGAAGATCTTTGATTCAACACCATTGGGAGCATCGTACGGAAGAAAACATCGAGCCAGGAGAAAGACAGACTTGGAGTTTATGTGAGATCGAAGTGAATGTTAATAAATTTATGTAAGCCAATTAATAATTATAAAAATATTCTTCATGTACATGTTATTATTTCAAAACCCCTTTACTAACCACTCCTGTGAAATAGAATTTAAAAATTAAAAACTATGTGATATTCATTAACTTGGATGTCACATTATGCAGTTCGATAAAATTACTTCTAAATCTGATTTAGTCCATTATAGTATCAATTAAATAAACTAAAATAGTTAAGTTCTGTATTTAATTTTTTATTGACACTGTTCTTTGGCGCAAAAAATATCGACAAACTTCATTTCACATTTTCTTACTTGGTAATATACTATGCAATTAAAATTTTATACCTGTTGATGTCATGTAATACGATATAATATAGTATAATTCAATATAATATAATGTCTTATTGTATATAATATAAATTCATTATGACACTTGATAAGCATTATACATATCAAGCACGCGTTCGCATTACAGAACTTTGTGGCAAATTACATATCACGAAGAATTTGATGTTTCACTTACGTTCTAAATTATAACTTAATTTTTTTTATAACTATAGTCAATAGCAATTAATTTTAATTATAACAATTATATCAATAGACGCAGAAGCGTTTTACCAATAATTCAGTTTTACAGTAGTTGTATTCTTCATTATCGCACCACTTGACATATTTGTTTTATTCACATTATTAGTCATTTTTTAATTTTAGTTATAAGCTTTGATATATTGACAATTTCATCACACATCAATCATCCAATATACCTTATGTCGATGAAAACTACCTTTTGTTAAATTGAGTTTTAAACTAAATAATGTATATACAAATCATTGCTCTGTATAAAGAATCTATTTTCCAAAATTTGCTTTTTACACAAGGTTTGTAATAGCAAAGCGTTTTATTATTTTGTTTCATAGGCTGTCATTTTTGAAAAAAAATATAGTTAAATTACATTACTTTTACATTCAATTAAAAAATAAAAACAAAAATGCACCAGTGCAAAAACGTTTTAAAAATGCTACATAAATGCTGAAAAATGTATGAAAAAGATCATATGCAACATAATAAGACTTTTTAAATAATATTCAAAATACAAAAGATATCAAAAACATAATTCTACTATTTTCATGCAGTTCGTTAAAACTAAGTTTTATCAATACCATATTTTATAATACAAACAAGTAAGCAAATTTTTTTTCGCTTTTAAATTAAAATCTTTGGTCATTTTTCTTATTTACTTCAAAACACTTCGTCAAATTAGTTTTTTTAGACGATAATGATTGATAATTTTAGATACTTATAATTTATATTATTAATCCTATTGAGAGCATAAAAAGTTCCACTAATCAGTACTCTGACTTCACAAATAATTGTCAATTATGAGTCACGAAAGAGAAGTGAGGCGTGTTCAAAGTTGTTGGCCAAAATATGGAACCAAGTTTAAGAGGAAGTTACAATAGTTTTACAAGCAGGTACGTAAAAGTGCGAATGGTCGCAATGATTATGTTTGTCATTTTTATAATCGATAACAGTTTTTCTCTTTTTATTTATTTAACAAATATTAATTGCGTATACTTTACTATAAGAAAAATGAGCCTACTTTAACTTCTTGTTTATCGTTACACAAATATTAATTTACCATTTACAGGCAGAAAAACTTTTCACATTCACAAGACTCTCGATCATATTCTTCTCATCAAAGAGTACGAAATTTCAATTACAATTTAAGATAAAGAGAGAGAGAGAGAGAGAGAGAAAGAGAGAAAGAGATCAATTCAGAATAAAATATTCGTTAATATCTAGCGTTCCCGTATTCGTGTATACATAATTATGTAATATGTAATACTAATACTTTAGCTGAACACGTAAAGCTTTTATCAATATATGTGCACGTCATTGTAGGTGAACAAGTAGGTGTGCTAAATTACCTGAGTACTTTGTTGCAATTCCAAAAGATTTAAAAAATTATACGATTTATGAAAATAATCTCTTATCTCGCGTTATTTGGCATTTATCAAATCGATCACAAAATCTTCTGACATTCATTTGTTCTAAAACGATTTCTGCAATAATAGTAAAATTAATTTTTTTATCAACCATTTGCGATGAATTACGTACTTATAAATAATTTAAGATAAAATCATACGTTTCACTTTTACTTACAAAACACAGTAAAAATATATGATCGAAAAAAATAATTTATTTAGTTAAAATATCGTATATTTTAGTAATCATAACTATTAATACAATTGTTTTATAATTTTGAAATTTTTGTACTCAATAATGATACGCAGAAGTTCGAGGTTACTAACGTCAAGTTATAATGTGCTCCTAATAGAACAAAACATACACAACACCGCAATAAATGTAAAAATTTTACTGCGTTCGATTAGCCAATTAAAAAAGATTCAAATCAAATTCAAATGTAATTTAAATTATTCGAAACACCAATGATCAATTTTTACAAATGAAAGTTTTACCTTAAAGAGATCGCAAAGCCAGCCAAAATTAATTATAATCCATCATCCTAAAAACTCAACAAGATTTTTCTCTGAAAAGTTTTATAATTACTTTAATTTTGCTGTTTTATATATTACAAAGCTTTTTAGAGAAATATTCAGTAAAAGATTCAAAAAACTGGATTAAAAATGTAATGCATAAGCTAGCTTCACCATGCCCTTAAATATGAATTAAGTGTTATGATAATAAAATATTTTGCAAGACTCGTATTAAATTATTTTTAAACGACAATTGCACGTAAAGATTTGGCGTTGCCGCGCAAGTGTTTCGTTTCTGAGCTCGCATGTTAGCTGTTGGGTGGCTCTGGGCTCGAACTCACTTTCGTCCGACTTCTAGTCATCGTTGCTCTTTCTTCCCCATCCTCTTCCATCTTCTCTTCCTCATTTTGCACCATTGAAATAGACTTAACTGGCGTCACTTTCGGTGAATTCGACGTCGCTTCCGTCGTCGTCATCGCCGTTGTTGAAGACGTTGTTGCAGCTGTTAAATTCGATATTGCCTCAGGCACTCTAGGACTTGGCGGAGGCGAACTTGACACTTTATTGTCGCTCGAGGATGTTTCGAGATCGTCGAGGCTATTCGTCTGAAAATATATGTTTAAAAAATCATTTCGCTTCCAAGCTCTCAGGGAATGGCAAATTTCGAATGAAAAAATTAGTTCGCTTGTGTAAGAAGAAAAAATTAGCTAACCTCTATTCTATTCTCATCATCAGTCTGTTCTTTAACTGTATTAGTTCTTGACTGATTTTTTACTGATACAAGATCCTTTGAGACAATTTTCTTCTCGTGGCGCTCTTTAATGCCAACGGATGCGACATCGAGACAACTACTACCACTGCCTGCGGGTTCGGGTGTGGCCAGTCTACAGCTGCTGGTGTTACTTTCAGGTACGGAATTGCTCACGTCACTGACCAGCAAAGAATTGTTCGAGTCCGAACTTGCCTCGATGTCCTTCGATGAGTGAGTCGATGATTTGGAGGACGAGGACTTGTTACTAGATTTGCTTGGATTTGTTTGGTTCTTGTGTTCGGCAGCCTCAGCATTACTGATATTGTCTTGCTTTTTCCACTTTGTGCGACGATTTTGAAACCAGATTTTGACCTGCAAAGGAAAAACAAATCGATGAATTAAACGTAATTACTATGAATTCTCGTTTAAATTCAAAATTTCGAATTAATTAAGAGGAAAAGTCGTCGAGTGAAAAGTCATTTATACGATGAATTATTAAATTTTCACGAGGCTAGGTTTTTAACGAAGTTGGGTTGGCACGGTTTCGTATGGAAAACTAGTCAAGTAAACAAGTATAAAAGCCAGTAAGTGCACGTGAAATGTTATAGCCTGCAGTGCTTGTATTGGCAAGTGGATATAAAATATTTCAACTGCAATGAATGTTACAAAAAAAATTGCATGCCTATTTTCTATTGCAAATATGCTCTGTATGTATTCTGTATTTCATTGATCGCACTCGCAATAACTTCTGAAGCTACAACGATAAACCTATTATTAATGAATACGAAGGCCACACGCCTGAATACGTGTTATCGTACGAAAAAATACGACAATTTATGGAATTTTAACGCTTCATTTTGACCTGCAATGATCAAGTGCAAATACACAGTTACATTCTTGTAGTTGGTGCATTTAATATATTAATACTTTTATGCCCAAGTCTTCGGACGTTGAAGGGAATCATTTTTTAACGTATTCAATAAATTTACACTTTAGGACGTTAGCGATCGTCTCGAAAATTTTTATCAAGCTCTCGAGTGTGTTGAAACATAAAGTTTGCTAGTTATCACGAGTGAATAATAAACGTGGGTAGCAAAAAGATTTGATACATGGGCCAGCAGCGAATATAATAGGACACCCTAGCATTAGGTAATCGCGTAATCTTTGTAATAATTAAAAGAGCATCAAATCACCTATTCAGCGACTTTGTGGTATACCCAATTAATAATTTATAACGATTGATTCAATTAAGTGAATATCGAAGCAGCTGCAGCTGCAGTTGCGGCCATCAGTGCACAGTAGCTCCGCATTAAGGACCTACGATAATATAGAGGTGCGCGCACGTTTTAAGCAAGCTAATTAATAATCGCAATTAAGTAACAAATTAATATTAACGCGATTGTTCGTTTGAGTATATAGCTGCTTGCGCACGTATGTATTATTACAGAGTCAGGAATCAGCGCAGGACTGTATATATGCGGAAAGAGCTGGGAGAGCGCGTGCATAAGAGCAAAGCTTTTAGTTGCGATCAATTGAAAGGCTCACGTATGCGCGGCGTTTCTAGACACGCGCGCGCTCTGCACAGGACGCGCTCGTGTGTGCGCAAATTAACAAGGCGTCACGTAGCAGCATCGGCGGCAGCAGTATCTAATAACTGCATCAGAGACCAAAGAGCCATCGCATGTACATACATACTCGGGGGCTGCTGCTGCTGCTGCTAAGGGTGGGAGGAACAGCTCGTTCTGCGAACCGAGTTGTTGGGATATATCGGATGGGACAGATTACGCACACATGCCGAGCTAGCCTGATAAGCTTCGCATACAGGCACGGGCACACGCGAGCACAGAATGCGCTGCGGCCAATTGTCTCTGATTACGGCGCATATATATAATACATATACTCGAGCGGCTACAATATCGCGCCGAGCGAATATCTTCCTCTTTTGCTCGTACCGCGCGGACACGCACATGTATACAATCGATTCAGCCGCATAATATATACATAATTGTACGCGAGACAAAGTCGAAAGCGATATAAATTGCAGCCAACGCCGCTGACAAATCTTCCGAATCGTCGCATAGAGTCCCATTGAGATGCTAGGGCGAACGCCCAGTGCAGCCAAGCGCGCGTGGACACACCTATGCGATGAATTTGAAACATTATGTTAATTAGTGTCTGTCGCTCGAGCTGCGCCAAGTGCCATAACGGCAGCGTCCACTCGAAGGCTCGCGCGCGTTATAACACGAAAATGGCGTGGCTCATTTGGATTATATATAACCGACAGCGCAGCCTAACTAGTACAGTCTCTCGTGCGAGCGCCTACAGGCACTAGGATATCACCGACGCGACGCGGCGATGAACGACGATCATGCGTGCGTTGTTGCGCCAAAATGCACACGTTTCACAGTTGAAACTGTATTAAATGCAGTGTGTTTCTGGCGGAAATTTGTGACAATTGATGCATGCCTAGCGTCTATGTGTCCACTACGACAAAAGCTCTGTTGACAGACACGAACGTGCCTGCGGATTATGCTCCGTGTGCTACGAGTCTATAACTTTTTAATCAACGACCTTTTTGTGAGTACCTATTATTAGAATGGAGAAAATTGTCTTTTCGTTGATTTGCGAACAAAAAATTCCGAAGGGAACTTACGTAAACCTTAGCTTGATTCGAGGAAATAAAAAAATCTTTGAAAAGTTGGCAATTGTACGTACCTGAGTCTCCGTGACGTTCAACAACTTGGCCATCTCAGCGCGCTCGGAGCTGCTCAAATACTTCTTCACTTCAAACTGCTTTTCCAGCTCGAATATCTGTCTGCCGGTGAAAGTAGTCCGAGCTTTTTTCTTCTTTCTTTCGGCAGCGGCAGCCGCGGCGGCGTCATTGTCGTCGTTCAATTCGACACCGGCAGCCACGTTTGACGATTCTTGGTTCGTTGGAAATTTCAAGCTACTGCTTGTGCCAACCATGACTGGTCCCGTCGAACTACTGCCCACTGGACTATTTTTACTGGGTATCGTTGACACCGCTGCTTCCACCGGTACAGGCGCCATCAGATCCGTTTCCTTGACTGAAACGCTGCCGGTCGCGGTCGCTGAAGGGCTTGAGTCGGGTCTCTTACGTTTGCCGCTGCCGCTGATATTGCCAGCACCGTTGGAATTGCTCGACTTGGCCGAGTTTGTGCCGCTCTCGGCAGCTGTAAGCAATTATCAAGAGGTTACAGTGTTGTAGCGCATAAATGCCCAATGGGGCTTTATTATGAATTCCATGTATAGCTTGCTGCATGTATATATTCCAGCTATATCTAAATTCACGTTCAGTGCGTTCGCTAAAGTTCTACCACGCGTAGCTTTGCATAATCCGATTATAGATTCTGCTTAGATTATTCACAGCTTTGAATCATCAAAAATTTACTCCAAGTTTGAATAAATAAAAATCTTCTTACAAAAAGGATCCGTTTCTGTGTAATTGTTAATCAGAAAATAAGAGTGATATGCTCATGATCAATTAAAACGGTATCAGAAAAAATTAATTAGGGTTCAATAAATCAAATAATTGCTATCTTTTTTTCGATTACAAATGGCCAAAAAGAGCTTGTTCAGATTCTATAAAGATATAGCTTCATTATACTGGACAAAAAGAAAACGAGAAATTAAGAGCAAACGTAAGGCTATCAGCCGTTTATACGGTGCAACCGACTCTGAGCTTTTTCCCACTTTAATATATAAATTGAAAAAAATATATATAAGGGATATAAAGAAGTACAAGAAGGCTGAAAAAAGAGAGAGAAAGAGAAGAGAAAACGAGCTCAAGGAAATAAACGTTGGAACATGTAACCCATCGATAATAACTACGACGTACTTTGATTCAATTCTGTACACACAATATACATACGTTGATCCGAACTGGTTAGCCAAACTCAAACTGCGTATCAATTCACCCCCTTTGTGGAAAAGAATAATTGGGTTTCAATGAAAGTCTGTGAAATACGCGTCTCGATATTATTGTGTAATCTAATTGTTTTGCTTTTAAGTGGTGCATGGTAAGCTTAATAGATCGTTCTAGAACTAGCTGTTTTTATTATACACGTATTATATAAGTGAGGCTTGAAAAAATAACCGTCAGGTGATTAAAATTTATAGCTCACGAGCCATTGCTATGATAGAAAAAAGAAGGAGTTTTGGAGCAAAAGTGCTGAAAGAAGTGCTTGTAGACTCGCTTGGTACACTTACACTTATAGGAATGCATATGTATTTAGGTATGCGAAGAGCACGAGAAAGAGGAAGGTAATGAGCTTAAAGCGCGCAAGCTTGTACGAGCCACGCAGCTGCACTGAATAAAGCACAAGAAGGAACTTTAGCAATTCAAATGACCATACAGCATTGGTTCACCTTTCCAATTCTCTCTTCCTCTCTTTTTCCTTCTCTCTTTCTTTTACTTCTGCAAGCTCTTCTACAGTTTCTCGCTGACGACCTAATTACTAATGGCAGAAAACTTTTCTATATATATTGCCGCTTTAACGATGATTTAAATGGCATGTATATAACTATGATCTCACATTTTTTTCGCCAAAAGAATTAAAATCCTTTGCACAGGTTGTAGGAAGTAAAGTTTGAAGACTCTACAATGATAACTATATGGAATAAAGAGTAATGACGTAGAGCTATATATTATGTAAAGCCATTTCGTGATTCAAGAAGCGCTGCTCTTTTAACTCTCTTCGTCTAAATTATGATGGATACAAGAATACAAATATCGAATGAGAGAGAAAGAAGAGAGAGAGAGAGAGAGAGAGATGGAGGGAGAGAGAAAGTTTGTGGCTTACATAGGCTCTGCTCGGTGCGTTCATATATGTATACACGGGCGTGGGCATATATATGTAGGAAAGCTCTAGGTAGTGTATGGAGCTTTATTAGCCTGTAACATCGGCTTTGTTCCGGAGAGCTGGTCAAACAGCGACGAGCTAACTGCCTCATGTATGTGTGCAAGCCGAGTGTATATGTGAGTGAATAGCAGTGCATAGATGTGTATATACATATATACATTGGAGCGCGCGGTAGACGTAACGATCTCGACAACGTTGTGCGCTGTTGCTGCTGCCGCTTGAGCGGGAGGGGTAGCAGGGAGGAAGAGCAGGTTATATAGCGGCTGGGTTATCGATTATCCGCGCTCTCTCTCTCTGCTCGCCCGTTGGCTCGGTACTACTACTCGACGCATCACACCACCCCGCATAGCCGATGTATATATATACCGTTTGCGCGAGTGAGCGAACGGCAGTTTACGCTAATTAGCACGAGGGACTATCTGATGCTGCTGCCGCTACTGCCGCTGTCTCTCTCTCTCTCTAGCTCTCCCTCTCTGGCTCTTGCATTAATGGGATCAAATCACAGGGACGTTAACCTTTGTTTCGAAACGCCACTGCCTGAGTATTACTGCGAGCTGCTATATACACTACTAGCCCTACATGCATTTGGTATTATGTATATATATACAGGCATATACATATTGCAGCACGACGCGCAGCATAGACTGACAGGCAGTGGCGGGTGGCGAGCCGAAGGGGAGGGCTACGTTTGAGCGGCCGGGGCCAGTAGAGAGAGAGAGAGAGAGAGCGAGAGAGAGAGTATGTTGATATATGCTCTCAAATGGAATGAGTATAAACATGTATGTGTCTCGTGCCTGCGTCTGTGCACTAAGAGCGCCATGCTGCATATTTGTGTAGGTGGGTGACTGAGTGCCAGCCAATACTCTCTACTGTCTCTCTCTCTCGCTCTGTAGCATCTACACCACTACTGGCCGTGTGCGGAGAGCGATGCAGAACATTCGTGGCATACGCCGGAGAGATTCGTGTTTAGTATGCGAGATATTGCCTCTCGGTACCTCTATTCTATGTATTTATATGTGTGTATATGTGCGTGTGTTTGTAAGTATATATATATGTGTGTGTGTGTGTGTGTATAAGTTAAGCTCGCGCAGTTATGAACGTGAGCGCGCGCTGGACCATTCCAGCAAGAATGTATATGACTCAAATAAAGCATTAATTACCATCGATGAATCGCGATTGATATGTTTATGTGTATAATCATCGATGCACCAATTATTCGGATCGATTGACCGAAACGCGCCAGACTACTCAATTTAATACGATTCGTTTCGAGAGAAAATTAATTCGAAGATTGAAGTTCTCGGTAAATCTTAATTTCGTTGCTTCCGATGCGCCCAACACCAGTATATCAACGCACACGCACGGACTCAGCGAGACACGTTTATAGAGAAAGGCAGCGCGATGCACCACTTAGGCGAAACAGACTGCACATCTGCAGCACCTACATGGCGTGTAAACTTACCATATAGGATCTAAACTCGCCACCACTCACACATAGATACACACGCGCGCGCTCACACACACAAGGTACGAAGAGAGATAGAGAGAGAGGGAGAGAGTTGGAATAGATTAACAAGATTAAGGTTCCACGTCGCATAGCAAGAGCAGCAGCAGAGCAGAGCTTAGCTTTAGTCGCAGTCGCGCCAAAGCGCACAGAGCGCGCCTATACAGCGGCGCGCGCGCTTCAGCCGCTCGACGAATCAATTCAGCCGTAAAGCGAACAGAAGGCGAAATTTCGCTTGTCGTCTATATTTGCTCAAACGATCGGATATATACCATATTATCTTTGCGAATCCAATACAGCTCATAGACCCGACAAAATGAGAAAGTTTGTATAATATTCCCCTGCTTGCATATATATGCGCCTAACCGTGTGTGTATGTGTGTATGGGCTTATAACGTACACGCGCACACGAAGTACGTCTAATATAAACGAGCGAATAATTGATGAGGTACGAAGGGGAAAGAAATTTTAGTATTCTGGCCTTTTAACGTTGTTTCCACAGCTTTATCGCTTCTGCCTTGCTCTCGTGGTACTCCTATGTCGAGAATCAGTTAGTGAAAGAAATTGCGGGAGAAGGGGTCCTCTGAGCCTATATATAGTGCTTGCAACTTCAGTACCTCTGGTATTATGAGCTTTCATTTGAGCTTTAAACGTGTAAATCTCAATATACGTGCCGTATGAATGTGCTTGCATATACAACTATGTGGAAAAAAATTACCGAAAGAAAGAGCGCAAATAATAGTTAAGACATTTACTTTCAAAGTGCATTGATTTTTCTTCCACTTGAACTTGAAGAATTAATTAATTTTATTGCATGAGATGTTTTAACGCTAACAATGATGTTAACAAAGACAAGTGGAAGAGTAATATCCCGTTCAACATCAATCAATAATAATTTGAAATCATCAATATCATAAACAGTAAAACAAATGAAAGACCGCAATACAAGTATTTACACATATGGCTAATATCATTAACAGTCGATTTAATTCTGATCTTCGAGATCCCAAGCGAAAGTTAACGATGCAAAAATGTACGTACAGACAAAACACAGGCGTCGCTTGAGCTCCTTAACATGGTTTATTATTATGATTTTTTTTCTCTGTTTTTTCTAAAAAAAAACATGAATAAATAATACTTTAGCTGCGTGCAGCGACGAATAACATTTTTTTGTGTAAGAAACGATTTTTAAACGATGTACCCGTAGCATACGTCTGTACATTGAGATGAATTTTCAAATGAATAATACGAATGTACGCTTGAAATGCAACGAGGGTGTCGAGTACTATACAAAAACATCTATACGAAATTCACTGGTAATTAAGACTTGATGCGTTTACGGCTTATTGGCTTTTAATCGACGCTTTAAATGTCCGCGTGCTCACAAATTTCGACGAAGCGAATGTGTTTTTATACTCGAGTAACAGCAAAAATCGCTCGAGCCTTGAATTAGGCTGCTATTGATTCATAAGTGGGCACCCGTGAAATTAGAGCTTGCGGGTGCGTAAAGACCATTCGATGGATTCTACTGACAGAGTCGCTGCATAATTATCGTTGGAACTCAATTCGCAGCCTGTCTTTCTGACTCCGGAGAAACGTGAAACTCGTAAACACGCGACAAGGCGCAAGCACGAAGTGAGAAAAGTATTGTACAAGTCAGGCTGGCAGAGCTTCGTCTGAAGGCTAATCACGACCCTCGTTGGCTCGTTGATTTCGTTGGCTGTGTACCGCGCGAGAGTTTGTCTAACAAATACGCACACCTTTACTGCATCCAAAGTCTGCGTCTTTGATGCTTAAAGCGGAGGAA